CACGCACACGTATCTATATGAGTCAACCTGATTTCTATTGTAATTTGTAGCATTACCTACACTAATAACACACACACAAATATTGGACCCGTTTGTGTACAATTTTTCAGTAAAACCTGAGTCAACCAGTTGAAAGGGAAGGTGGTGTAGAAAAGGAGGGACTTGTTCCAAAAATGGCTGTTTGAAAACTGATCCGTACAGGACAACTGAGTGGACGGCTATTATTAGCACCGGTTTCTGACTGTACCTCCGTTTGCCGGCATATATCCCTCGCGTGTGAGTGTTCTACTACGAGAGCGAGCGCTCTATGTTACGCTCATAAGAACGAGTGATACACCAATCCCTGGCTTATACGAACTTAACGGTAAGTTTATAAACTTCCTAAAAATTTCAGACCGTTGTAATTCAATAATGTTCCGAATTATAAGAACGATTATTAAACTTCCTAAAAATTTCAGACCGTTGTAATTCAATAATGTTCCGGATTATAAGAACGATTATTAAACTTCCTAAAAATTTCAGACCGTTGTAATTCAATAATGTTCCGGATTATAAGAACGATTATTAAACTTCCTAAAAATTTCAGACCGTTGTAATTCAATAATGTTCCGGATTATAAGAACGATTATTAAACTTCCTAAAAATTTCAGACCGTTGTAATTCAATAATGTTCCGGATTATGAGAAAGATTATTAACCATGTCTTTTCAAGCTGCTTTCGGTTGTCTTAAAAATATAATTCTGATAAAATCCGAATCTTAGCAGGACCAGCAGAAATGAACTGCTTCCCCATCCCCCACATGTTGATAAAACAACATGGAAATGCCTGTACTTTAATTCCATACGTGACGCATGTGTTGTTTTTATATATAGTCTGAAATCACTGAATTTTCTGTAAGATGAAACGTAAGCATATTTATACGCACGTAAAAGAAATCGTTAGTACTTTTATTTTCATAATTACTCCCCCCCTCCCCCCTCCCCCAGAGTGACTCGGCGCCGGTAAGTCTGAAGGCTTATAACGCTAAAAACTGGATTTCGATACCCAAAGTGGTTACAGCACAGATGGCCCAGATAATAAACAAGTAAATATAACCACTTCTTACATTTAACCTTCCTATATCATTACTTACTGCTTCAGATCTCGTAGTGACACATATCCATTTACAACGTGTGTACATTTTGGATAGGACTAGCCACTGAAGGATTTTTGTTTTCAATTTATCTGTTTATTTAAGTTTTTCTGTTATCCATTCCATCTTAGTCGCGTTCCCAATTTCATATAGTGTTATTATTTAGTTTATTAAATAGATTAACATACTTCCTACAGTCCCCGGTGGGCCAGCAATAAGTTTCAGGAACTATAACGCCAAAATCCGGGGTTCGATTCCCCATTATGTAGCTTTGCGCTAAATCATACTTCCTGCATCACAATTACTATGGAAGGTGTCAATGGTCATTTTTATGCTGATATTTTCAGTTATTTACTCCTATAATACAGTATATTTACTGTAATCAATAGAAACATCAACGTTATGATATGGACACGGAGTTTGATAACGCTGTTTCAACAGAATAATACGCAATATGTGTGTCTGTCTTCCTTTCTTATTCATATAAACAGCGGATCGTATTTCTCATTCCTAAAAATAATAAAAACAGGAGCAATGATGCCTTTGCCAACTTGGAACAAAACCTTAAAACTGCACTTTTCTTTCATATAATCAGAGACGGCGTTTCTATCTACACTGGAAACAAGACTATTGGTTCTTATGATAGTGGCCCAGCATGGCCATGGAGGTTAGGGCGCTTGACTCGCAATCTGCGGGTCGCGGGTTCGAATCCCCGTCCCACCAAACATGGTCTTCTTTCACCCGTCT